GAGAGATGGTTATTCTCAGGCAAAAACAAGGCTTGCCCCGTCACGAAACAGCCCTTGTTCGACGGCACAGATCTCACTCCCAACCACACTCTCCGCCGCATAATCCAAGCTTGGTGCACCCTCAACACTTCACATGGCGTCGAGCGGATACCAACCCCAAAGTCTCCGCTCGACAAATCCCAGATCGTTAAGCTCATCGAACAAGCCAAGAAATTGCCTAACACCAACCTTCATTGCCTCCGGAGGCTCAGATCCATCGCCATAACACAAAGCGAAAGGAACAAGAGCTGCTTGGAGGCTGCAAGAGCAGTCGAATACGTGGCCTCAATAATCAACAAAGCTCCCTCTGATGATCCATCTATAATCGAAATCGCTGTTGAAGTCTTGTTTCTTCTGAAAGGCTCGGAAGCTGGCCTCAAAGATCTCATAAGCAACGATGGTGATAATAATATCGTGGAGTCTTTGGTCAAAGCATTGAAATTCAAGAATTTCCAATCTCGAGCTCACGCAATAATTCTATTGAAGTCTGTTTTCAAAGTGGCAGATCCAATCCAGTTGATGAGTGTCAAGGTTGAGTGCTTCCACGAGATAGTACATGTGCTGGATGATCGGATTTCACAACAAGCGTCCAAGGCGGCATTGAAGCTTCTTGTGGAGCTCTGTCCATGGGGAAGAAACCGAATCAAAGCCGTGGAAGGCGGCGCAGTTGCAGTCCTCATAGAGGCTCTTCTTGAGACACATGAAAAAAGAGCGAGTGAGCTGATACTAATCCTTTTGGATCAGCTTTGTGGATGTGCAGAAGGGCGAGCTGAGTTGTTGAAGCACGGGGCTGGGCTAGCCATTGTGTCCAAGAAGATCCTTAGGGTTTCGCACGTGGCAAGTGACCGGGCAGTGAGGATATTGTCCTCCATTTGTAGATTTTCTGCAACTTGTGGTGTTCTTCAGGAAATGTTGCAAGTGGGTGTTGTGGCCAAGTTGTGTTTGGTGCTTCAAGTGGATTGTAGGTTTAAAACCAAGGAGAAGGCAAGAGAGGTTCTCAAATTGCACTCCAGAGTTTGGAAGAATTCTTCATGCATTCCTGGTCATTTGTTGCCTTTTTATCCATCTTCATCTTCATGATCTCACACATGTTTTTTGTGTGTGTGTATGTGCATAACATGATGGATCATCAGATCAGATGCATGCAATTCAGTTTTGAAGAAAATTGGGGTTCAATTAAAGTGGGAGTTTAAGAATATAGAAAGTTTCACTATTATAGTTTATTATATTATTGTTGGAACATTTGACTCATATAATATAACATGAGACGGATCTGTAGTTGGCTTGGCATGGCACATTAGTTTTTTGTATGATCTAATATTTTGAAACTAGTCGAATGGTAAACTTAAACAATTTCTTTTAAACACAAATGATCAATGAGGTTCCACTCACTCATTAGTAGTTGGGATATTAGATTTTTCGTTTATGATTATTGTTCCCTCATGGTAATCTTATAAATACTTATAAGCAGTGAGTCAGTTCTTAATCACTTTAATTCACCTTTTTTTTAAGTGCATAAATTAGTTATATAAAACCCAAAAGAAGTCATCTAACTATCTTCAATTAGGGATGGCATAAATTCCCGTCGCGCCAGTTTTTCATTGGGGCCCCTCGACCCTAATGGGGGAAGATTTCAAGAAAAAGTCGGGGGCGAGTATGGAGATTCCCAAATTTGAAAAATCTCTGGTTAAGAATGGTATTGTTATTCCTATCTCCATACCCGACCCAACAAATAATATATTTATTTTAATCAATATATAATATAATCAATAACTATATTCTCGGAAACGCTCACATAACAAGTATCTTCCTTCATCAGAATTACTCACAATAAGTGAGGCAACCTTTTAGGGACTGGAAAAAGTTAAAAGCACTGCTTGCTTTAGATATGTTTAAAAGAAGAACTGTAAGTAAAACTAATACAAGGCATGCTTTTTTGTATTTGGATCTTCTTCCATGTGAAGTGGACGGATGGGTGAACATAGCAATATAATATTTAGTTTAATATTTATTTTGAGTTTTAGTAACTATATAATAAATAATATTTATTTAGTACTGTCAAATTGAATTGAGATTATTTTGAGTTGTTGAGTTAAATTTTATAATTCAATTGAATATAATTGAGTTTAATGATAATTTAAGATGAAATTTAAGTGTTATAATGTAGGATAAATATTTATTGAATTAAGAATCCGGGGATTCGAGGTGGGTTTGGGAGGATGTAGCCCCAATGGTGATGTGGATGGGGAATTCCCAAATTTTTTTAGTCGGGGATAGGGTCACAGACAAGAATGGTATTGCCATACCCAGCCTCGAACTGTCCCGTTTCTATCCCTATCTTAAACTCCAACTACATCAATTCTCAATTCGATAAATTTTCTATGGCTTTTCTTGTTCTTCTCTTGTCTATACTTGGTCGACCCCTTGACACATCCAAGTAATTTTTTGGCAACAACAATTTCCCCTTCTTCTTGTCCCCATAACACATATTTAAGTAATATTTATGTGCAACAACACCTCCTCCTTGTTCTAATTCTTCTACTTCCATAAATAGAAGCAACTACAAATGCAAGCACAAGAGAATTAGGTGCACTACTACGTTTTACTATTTGCGCGACGAACATGAATCCATCTCGCAAAATGCACTACAGCGACGGGAAAAAAATTTTGTCGCGCAAACCACCGAAAACTGGCGCAACCCAATTGTTCGTCCCGCAAAATGTCTTAGCGCGATAGAAAATTCCTTCGTCGCACAAAGTGAGGAAGAAAAATTTTTTTTTTTTTTTTTTTTTTTTTTTTTCAAAACAAAATGACGTGACAATGATGATGATGCGAAAATAAGGTAATGGAGGAGAACGTATAGCGCGACGCGTTGCGACGACTTCGTCGCGTAAAGGTGGACAGAAAACAATGGGTTCTGTTATTTGGCGGTAAAAACTTGTGTGACGACAGTTTTCATCGCAAAAGACAACCTAGCGCGACAACATGATTTATCGTTGCGTAAGAAAACGTAGGATTTTTTTTTTTGGCGCCAAAATACTTATGTGGGATTTTCTTTTTTGCACGACGAAAATAGTCTTCGTCGCGTAAAGTTTGATGTCGGTACAATCTTGCGCGACGTGCTTGCACAACGAAAAAGTTATTTTGTGCGACGGAAAAGTGATTTTTCGCAACGGCAGTTTGCGCGACGAAATCATGGTTTCGTTGCGCAAAGTCCTTCTTCTTCATATTAGAATTCTGCCATTACAGAGGAAGAGTGCCAAAAAAAAAAAAAAAAAAAAAAAAAAAAAAAAACAATGCGTCTCCCTCAACCTCTCTACCGCTACCTCTGTTGGGAATTCAATACGTTCATTGGGTAAGTATTTTTTTTGTCGTTAGTTTAAAAATATTAATGTAAATTCGTACTAACGCTATTAATTTCGTTATCTTAGGGATATTTGTAATTAGCGATTGGTGGAGAACGATTGAGAAGGTATTTTATTCGTTTTATATATTAAAAATGTTAAATTTATTACATTATGTTAAAGTTAGTTTGTTATGTTTATATTTTTTTTGTGAAGTTATATTTATATTATGTTGTTAAATTGTGTGTGACGTAGCACAATGTGTTGTGATGTACGAAGATAATTGAAATTAACTTCGTACTTTTATTATTATGTTTAGTAACACTTAGTTTCCCGTTCGAGATTAGTTGGATTTTGTGCATGGATGCGTAAAGCATGACTGCGGTCCAATTAATTCTTGAATTGTCCCATTATTTGGACAGTTTGGGAATGCATAGTTATGTCATGTAATGTACGGCTACAAGATTAGGTTTCGATTGTGGAGATTTCAGTGTTATCTTTGTACGTTCTTTGGGTGGTACGTAGGTATTTATACCTACGGTACACCTCAAGAACTATATCGAGATGCTGCCGAAATTCATCCACGTCGAAATCTAATCTCATGTAGCCGTACATTACGTGACATGACTATGCATTCCCGAATGGGATAGGGCCCTTACCGAAGGCATAATGTGACATTATGACTTTGTATGAAGTTGTTGTGATTGTTGTGTTGTGATTGTGGTTCCAGGAATTATGAGTAGGAGGTGGATACAGAACCCGAATAGATGCGCAGACGAATACTTTGATGGAATCGAGAATTTTATTGAGTTTGCACGTACACACAACCCAGGTGCAACTAGAATCCGTTGTCCTTGTAGGAGGTGTAACAACACGTTGTGGGAGACAATTGAAAATGTTGGATTTCATTTAGTAAGGAATGGAATGATTGAGATATATAGCATTTGGAACCTTCACAGGGAACAATTAGACCATGCTTCGTCTTCAAATGCCACAAGAGTGGAAAATGTTGAACCTATTGTGAATCCTAATGATCAAGTCATGGATATTATACAAGATGCTTTTCCATTTGCATCGACCAACATCAATCAGGAAGGGGAAGATAACTTGCCTACACCAAAAAACAGTGTAGAGTTTGAACAATATGAAAAACTGTTAAAAAATGCCAACCAAGAGTTATACCCGGGGTGCAAGAGTTTTTCCGTTCTCACGACCATTGTGGATCTAATGCACGGAAAAATAAAGTATCGTATGTCAAACCTGTGTTTCGATTACTTTTTAGAGGTTTTCAAGAGAATACTTCAAACGGACAATTGTTTGCCGAAATACCATAAACACGCGCAAAAGGTGTTGAATGGCCTTGGATTGGGTTATGAAAAAATTCACGCTTGCAAGAACAATTGCATGTTATTCTACAAATAGCATGAAACGTTGGATACATGCCCTATATGCAATGAGTCGAGGTTCAAAATGACATCTCAGAATAGAACGACTAAGATCCCACAAAAAGTCATGCGTTATCTGCCCCTGAAACCTAGGTTGCAACGATTGTATATGTCGACGCATACTGTCACAGACATGAGATGACATAAGGAAAAACGGGTAGACGATGATGTGATGCGGCATCCTGCAGATGGGGAGGCAAGGAAAGAGTTCGATCGAACGTTCCCCGAGTTTGCTGCTGATCCCCGAAATGTTAGATTGGGACTTGCCAATAACAGATTCAATCCGTTTGGGGTTCTAAACCAACACCACAGCACTTGGCCGATTTTCATTTTCCCATATAATTTGCCGCCTTGGAAATGCATGAAAAAAGAATACATGATGATGACTATTTCGATAACTGAGGATCCTGGCAGGTCAATCGATGTTTACTTAAGGCCGCTGGTTAATGAGCTGAAGGATTTATGGACAAACGGTGTGCGCACGTACGATAAATCAACTAGGAAGATTTCACTTTGCGGACAGCAGTTATGTGGACTGTGAATGATTTTCCAGCATATGCAATGGTTTCTGGGTGGAGCATAAAGGGTTATATGGCATGTCCTGTATGCACGGAAGATGTGACTTCTGGTTGGCACTTTGGAAAAGTTTGTTTCCTTGGTCATCGGAGATGGTTGCCATAGGACAACGAGTGGCGGGAAAAAGATAAAGAGTTCGACGGGAACATAGAGTGTTGCCTCAGACCTAGAGAATGGTTCAATGATGAGATCTTGGAACAGCTTAACCGTTTGGATTTTACTCCGTTTGGGAAAACAGTTAGTTGGACCAGACCTTCTACATATATGAACTGGACGCACAAGCCTACGTTTTTTGAGCTCCCATATTGGTCGAAACTCAAATTGAGGCACAATCTTGATGTGATGCATGTTGAGAAAAATGTATTCGACACATTGGTGGGCATAATTCTAGATATCGAAGGCAAGACAAAGAACACGATCAAAGCTCGTCTTGATTTGGAAAGAATGGACATACGAAGGGGTTTATGGATGAATAGGGACAGTGATAAAGCTAGAAGGGATCTTGCATTTTTTTCTATGAAACCGAATGACAAAAAAGAGTTTCTAAAGTTTGTATCGTCTGTAAAGTTTCCCAATGGGTATGCTTCTAATATCACACGTTGCGTGAATGTTGACGGGGGTAAATTTACTGGACTTAAGAGCTATGACTGCCATGTGTTTATGCAACGCCTACTTCCTGTGGGTATTCGACATTTATTGTCGGAAGATGTAGTGAAGCCAGTCATGTTGTTGTTCAGATTTTTTTCCCAACTAACGGCAAAAACATTGCGAAAGACAACATGTTTCAGTTGCGCCATGACATTGTCCAAGTCCTATGCAAGTTTGAGATGATATTTCCTCCAACTTTCTTCACAAGTATGATGCATGTGATGGTTCACTTGCCAGAAGAGGCATTGCTTGCTTGTCCTGTCAACTATCGCTGGATGTATCCAATAGAAAGGTATATAATCTTTATCGTTTGTGTATGCATCATTATCACATGCTTGCTAATTTGTATCATATCGTTTTATTTTGGCAGGCTTCTCGGAGAGCTGAAAAAAAGTGTACGCAACAGGCGAAGCCCGAAGGATCAATTGTAGAGACTTGGGTTCAATATGAGTCGCTTACTTTCTGCGGAATGTATTTAAAAGATGTGGAGACGGTTTTCAATCGTCCTCAGCGCAATCATGACAGAGGTATAAGAAATGAAAAACTTTCTATTTTTGCCCAAAGCGCATGACTCTTTGGAGATCTTGGACGAGGAGAGTCGTTTTCTAGAAATGACATGAAGGTAGCGCATTGGTTCGTACTGAACAATTGTGATGAGATAATGACATACTTAGATGAGCATGAAGAGATGATGAAGCGAGAACATCCATCACTTTGTATGCCAACAAACACCATGAATTGTTTCCACAATGATTTTTAGATTCTGTAAGTTATAAGTGTTTTGTATTTGACAAATATAAATTGTAGTATTTAATTTTGTCAGACTAACATGTGAATGGTTTTGTATAATATTAGGTGAATAAGTTGAAATCATCGAATTCCCCCACTTAGAGTGAAGAGTCATATAACTTGGCGTTCGGCCCGATTCGCGCTAAATTGTTCTCGGGTTGTAATGTTAACGGCGTCAAATTTTTGGGGACTGCACGAGATGACAAGTTGTGTACGCAAAACAGCGATGTCCATGTCCCAGGTGGAGGCAAAAGTACGGACATTGATTTCTATGACAAACTCACAACTGTCGTGCAATTGCTTTACAAAGATAGATACCAACGGATCATGTTTAAGTGTCGATGGTTTGATACCAACCCAAATAGGCCGGGAAGTGTTAAAATCGACCATGGCTTACTATCTGTGAACATTAACAGAACTTGGTATGATTACGACCCTTACATTTTGGCAAACATGACAACACAAATTGTGTATCTAGATGACCCTAAAGCCGGGAGCAGTTGGAAAGTTGTTCAGAAGATAGATCATAGGAACGTGTATACTATACCAGAATTATACCCAACTGACAATGACGTCGATAATGTGGCTGACCAACGTTCAGAATCTTCAATGGAAAATGATGCGAAAACACTTCGAAATACAAATGTTATATAAGAACCGTTTCAAATACAAGGAGTGTCTTCAATCGAAATACCGATTCAGTTTATTACAATTGACCTCGGTGATCTTCCACGATACGATGTTGTAGTAGACCCGAGCAATGACGATGATGTAGTTATAGAGGAGGAGGAGGAGGATTGGAGACCGAAAGTGATGATAGCGACGATAACGATAGTTATTATAGTTCAGATGATGAATAATGAATTTTTTTGTAATTTTATTATGTTAGTGTACAGATTTTGTGTAATACAAATATTTGAATATATGTAGTTGTTATATCCAAACCTTATATATGTGGAGAAATGAAACATTGTTAAATAAATTTAGTTATAAAACATTGGTAAATAAATATATCATTATTTTGACAAAACATTTTTAAAAAATGAAAATGATAAAGAATCCGACCTAAGGGGGTTGTATCCAATTCTAACTTTTATTGACTTTTCATGAGTTTGTGAAAGTTTATCACTTCACTTTATAAAAGAAAAAGGAGAAGTGAGTTAGCTCAAAGCAACAAAAACTGCGTGAGACATTGTTAAATAAATTGAGATATACAAGAAAATGAAAAATGAAAAAAAAATTGTTATAAAACATTGGTAAATAAATATATCCAAACCCTTTTGATACGAAGTTTGAAAATTATTGACACAAAACATTTTTAAAAAATGAAAATGATACACAATTTGACCTAAATATGTAAATGGCACCAAATACTTGCGCGACGAATCTCGCCTCGTCGCGCATAGTTTGTATGACGCAAAAGCTACTCGTCGCGTAAAGTTACAATTTCACGCGACAACCTACCATCCGTTGAGTGAAGAAATTTTGCCCGACGAATGGATAGTTCTCGTCGCACAAATATATTTATTTCACTATATAATATACAGACACAAATATATTTGAAATTGACGATCAAATTAGTTCATTGTATTCATATAGGGTCAAGGAGTGTAGCTGTAAAAAATCATTAAAATTGGAGTTCAAATAACCGTTAAATCATGACTTTTCATTTATTACTGTCGAAAAGTTTTGTCCCGTTACTTGATCTCTACATGTTTCTTTTTTTCCGATTTTTGGGGTCTATGATCTTGAAGTATAAACAAACAAGTTTGACGGTTGGATTACTGAAACTAGTTTCGTAGAATGTGCATGCCATCAAAACAATATATTCACCAACAATGAAGAGTTTATTTATACTTTCGTTAAATATAACATAAGATTATGTGGTATCCACTAGTGTAAATATCTTAAATTGAAGATCAAATTCAGTCATTGTATTCATATAGAGTCAACAAAATGTAGCTGTAAAAAATCATCAAAATCGGAGTTAAAATAACAGTTAAATAGTGACTTTTCATTTATAACCGTCGAAAAGTTTTGTCATGTTACCTGATCTCTGAATGTTGGTTTTTTCCAATTTTCGGCGTATACGATCTCGAAGCATAGAAAAACAAGTTTGCCGGTTGGATTATTGAAGCTAGTTTAGGGTTTAGGGTTTGCTCGACGAAATAGCACTTATTTCGTCGCGCAAAGTGTACAGAACATACCTTTGCGCGACAACTGCTTATATTCGTCGCGCAATATCAGTCAGACCTTTCACTTTCTCTCTCTCCCCCCTATAAACCCTAAACTCCAAATTTTGACGGAATCACAACTGCTTATATTCCATCTTCGTCGCGCAAAGTCGCACAGACCCTTCACTTTCTCTCTCTCTCCTGCTAAACCCTAAATCCCAAAATTTTGGCAAAGTGATAACCTTGCGCGACGAAAGACCAGACTTTGCGTCTCGCAAAGTAAATAATAGAGAACCTTGCGCGACGCTGTTCTCTCTTTGTCGCTCAAAATTACACAAACCCTAAACCCTAATTCCAAATTTTGGCGGACTTACAACATTGCGCGACGAAATTAGTTCTTTTTCGTCGCGCAAGATGCATTTAAAATATTTTGCGTGACGCTTTAAATTGTTCATCGCGCAAGATCAAATAAAGTTTCATAAACAACGCGACTGCCTCATTCTTCCTTAGTTTCAAATTTTTTGCCCTAAACCTTCTCTCTCTCCGCCGTCACCTCAGCCCACTACTCCGCCGGAATTTGGACCGGGCCGCCACAACCTTCAAACCCCGAAGCTTCCTCACCGTCACCATCGAGCCTGCCGCCGTAATTTGCTCGGTTTTCACCGAATCTTCGCCGGCCTCATTCTCTCTCCTCCAGCCACCAAGTCCGACACCGGAGGTATGGTTTCTGGACTATTTTTTCTGCTTTACCTGGTTGGGTAGGATTTGATTAATTGTCGGAATAGGGCAATCAATTGGGTAGCATTTGATTAATTGTCGGAATAGGGCAATCGATTTTAAACCCTAAGTTTCAGTCGGTTTTTGTATTTAAATTCCGGCTACTTCCGGCCATTTTTCGAGGTGGGTCCGAGAACAACAATGGCTCCAATTTGTGATTTCAACCTAGGGTAGGAACTTTGGCCCTTAGTCTATAGAATTTTCCAGCAATTGTTATCGCTTTGGACACCCAGCGTTGCCGACTCTTGTGGTGGCGTGTCGGATACTGTAACAGTGGTGCATTGGGTTCCAGTGCAATCCCCTAGTTGTCACCAGTGTGTAGGTGTGTTCGGATTGGAATTTGGTTACCGTTTGAATCTCGAATGGAGTTTGCATATTGTGCAATTTCCGGGTTTGATATGTTCGGACCGTTAGATCGAACTCAAACTTACGTATGTTGTACCTTGTATTTCTAGGGTCGTGTAGGATTTGACGGATCGTAGATCGGATTCCCGGATACTCCGAACTCGCAAACCCTAGGTCAAGCTATGCTTTTAATTAATTAGTTAAGAATCTTAATAAAATTGTATGTGCTTACAAATATTCCTATATTTTATGAATTTGTATGTGTATTAATTAAATTGTGCAGATGTCAAACGTGATTAGATGTCGTAGGGCGGTGACGACTGCACAGAGTTCGGAGCCCTCGGCTCAGTCGTCATCTGTTGCCACTGCGCCAGCACTGATGGACCACTTGGCAGTTGGTCCCGTGGGGTCCCAGGCACCTGCTTCATCGGCTTCATCAGTGGCGCAGCCTGTTAGCACCAGGCAACGTCATCGGCCCACCAGCACCACCGACACTACATCGACTGATGCGTCGGGGTCACAGCCAGGTATAGATTTCCTTCAACTTCAGTTCTTTTTTTCTCTTTTTTTGTTTTTTTTGTTTTTGTGTGTGTATTTTATAGTTAAATTTGTTATTTATTTAACATTAATGTCATATTTCTTTGCAGCCAAGAAGAACACCTGAGGGCTGTGTCGGCAATTGAAGACGGTAAAAGTCACTTGGGTGACCAACAGTCGTATCAACATCGGATACGACGAGCGACATCGGGCTGCACCGACGGCGAAGTTGCATAGCTCCTTGGCCCACGACATTGGTCACGTCGTGCGGACCCGTTGCCTGATGCAATGGAAGTCTTGGAAGGTCATGCCTGACGAGATCAAGACGGAAGTGCGCGGCCAGTTGTCGATATGTATCCTACCTTTTAATTATTTTTCTTTCAAACTTTATATATTTGTATTACTTAATGTATGTAATTAATTTATTGCAGACAAACTACAACTTGGAGAACCTCAACGACGAGTCGTTGACGTACGTCAACAGACTCAACTCTAAGAGGTACAAGCAGTGGAAGAGCGACTTGCACCACCATTTGGAGGCTTTTGATGATTCGGAAGTCGCTCTTCAGGAAGGTTGCCCCGAAGGAGTTTGAGGGGCGGGAGGATAGTTGGGCGTGGCTCTGCGCTCATTTTCAAGCGCTCGATTTTGTGGTAATTTGTAATATGAATTTCAAATTTATTATATATTTCTTACTAATGTTTATTTAATTTTTTATATTTCATTTCAATTTCAACTAATACGTTTTATTTTTTGTATAATAGAATAAAGCCAAAGTCAGTAAGGGCATAGGAAAAGGAGGCCGGGGACATATTGTTGAGGATGGGGAATGCCTGGTGGAGGGAACCTAGACCCCGTTCATCAGCACAGTCAAACAGTCAGGTGACTATTTTGACATCACAGGTGGCCACTCTTCAAAGTCAAATGTTGGTGATTCTGCAGTCCCTCGCGTGGTCCGACATTCCAGTCCCGCATTTTGATGCGCCGAGCTTCGAGCCCGTCCACCCCGAGCATCCCCACCAGACCACGGCCCTTGTAAACCCCCAGACCTCCGAGCCGCATATGCTAGATGACAATGTAGATTTTGGAACTTTATTTGATTAGTTTTGTGCTTTCATAATTATTTTTTAAACATTTCTCTTGTAGTATACATTTATTTTATTTTATATAATTTTTTTGTTCTCTTCAATTCATTTTTCATTGCAATTTCATTTTATTACCAAAAAAAAACCAAATTTATTTTTTTACAAAATAAAAAAAAAGTAATATTAAATTCAAATAATATATATTCATTTTGCAAATTCACATTTTATAAAATAAAAACCATAAAATTACATTTTAAATACATATATTTTATTCTTGCGCGACGAAGAATTTTGTCTCGCGAAAAGGCTATGTGTGACTACGAATATTTTGTCGCGCAAATGTTGGTGACACGAATTGCGCGATGAAGCACATGTCGTCGCGCAAATAGTTGCGACTCGAACTACGCGATGAATATTTTCCGTCGCGCAAAGGTTTGTGCGACGAACAATTGTGTCGTCTCTAAACGTTTTGTGCAACGAAGGTTAACTGTTACTCAGTTTTGCGCAACGAATGCAAAAAATTGATCACGCAGAGTCTTTCTTCTCGCTCTTTGCGCGTCGAATTTTCCGTCGCATTGAAATTTGTGCGACTAAAAGTAACTTTGAGCAACAAAATCCCGTTCGTCGCGCAAATCATAAAATGCAGTTGTGGTGGTAGTCAGCCAAGGTTAAAGTTGAAGGGGAAGCGGCTGGTGGGGTTGGAGATGGACAGGGACGAACTCCGAATTTGAAAATGAAGTGGCGTAAATTTACCTTACGTACAAGCCTATTAAAAAAAAGATGTGCATGAAGAAAGGTGTAACATCTAAGAAAAAAAATGATATTAAAAAAATAAATTTATTTAACTTAATTATGAGTTATAAAATAATAATAATTTATAAAATAAAAAAAAAGGGAAATGTGTAAGCCAAGCCTTTGTTCTTCCCTTCATTCTTCCCCCTTTCCCTCTTACATTCTCTTCAAAAATCTAATTTTAAGATGAGTTGTTCATCTATTGGAGGTGAGTCACCTAGTCTAGGCTGAGGATATTAATTTCTTAAACTAAGATAAGATTGAGGATGAAGGAAATGAAATTTGGGTGAGGAAAAGAATGGAGAATAGGAGGAAGAGAAAAAATAATCTATAAGGTGAGTCAATTTTGAATTTGTGTGTTTCTAGTTCCTTAAAGAGTATTTTGGTTTCATTTTGAGCCTTGATTCCCTCTAAATAATACATAGGCAACCTGGTATCCGTGTCAAGACCCACCCTGAGTGCCCTTTTTGAGGCCGAAGAGTCTTTAGTATGTCCAACACCCGCTAGGTGTTCGACCAAATAGGTAAGCTATCCATAACCTATGCCTTGGAGCAAAATAAGAAGGCTCTACTACAACCAAAAATTAGACAAAGTCTCCCCTGTAATTGGCACAAACCTCACACTACAGTAGAATATCTATTTAACAATGCAATGTAAACATTGTTTATGCCTTTTAACAAAGCGCCTACGACTGTATTGTGCCTTGATGTTGTTAAAAGTTAAATAGATTAACGATGTGTCATGGACGTTATCTTATATGTGGATGAACGTTGTTTAAACGAAATTCACAACATTTGAGAACTCATTTGACAATGAACATAGTGAAAAGTACCACACTCCTATTCTTTTAGCAACCTCTTATTTACGTAATAATCTCATTCTTCAACAGCAAACATCAACAACAACTCAACAGGGGTCTAGACCCTTTACCCACGCAAATCACATTCAAAGTGTGAACATATCATAGCAATCAGGCACGGACCTTAATGCATTCTTACCTGGGCTACAACCCGGGGGCCTTTTAATTTTTTACAGCCCAAAGTAAATTTTTAGCCCGCGCCAAGCCCACTCACACAACAGCAATACCCCTTCATGAATTAGCTCTGGTTGGCTGCATTTAGAAAGCAAAAAAAATTAAGAAGAAAGAACGAGCTGAGCAGATATATTGGGAGCCCCATCGACGCGCTAAGCCTAAGCATGCTGCTACTACTGCTGCAGGTTCTGCTCCTCTCCTCTCCTCTCTTGAAGGTTTAACTGAAGGTTTATTTTTCTGATTTTATTGTTTGTCTTCTGTGTTGATGTTGTTGTTTGCTTTGGTTGGCGTGTTTTGGTTGTCTTGTAATGGTTGTTTTGCTTTAGCTTCACCGGCATGTTTTGGTTGTTTGCTCCTATTTTCATTCATCAACATCTTCTTTGTTGTTGTCTTCATATTATTTTCTTCCCCCAATTTGTTGTTATTGAAATTTGGGTATTTTTTTAGGGTTTATAAAGTATCAAATTTTTTTTTATGAAATTGAAAATCTCTAATTGATACTTTATAAACACTAAAAAAATTAGGGATTTTCAATTTCATAAAAAAAAATTAAAAAAAAATGAGGGATTTGTAATTGAGTATTATAAATTATCAATTGATTATATGAATGATGAATTATTAATCAGGGATTAGGTGAATTAATTAATTGCTAACATGTTGTGTTCTATATATTCCTTAATAGGTTATATATTTAAAATGCTTGATCAATATCAAAATTCTAAGAGATTAAAGACTCTTCAGGATTTTTTTTAAGAGGAATGTTAATGAGTCAACTAGCATGCCTCCTCCATCTCCTCCAATTTGTGAGGAACAACCTCCTTCTGAACCTCAAAGAGTGGAGTCTGAAAATGCAATAGTTGATTCTCAAAGATAAGAATTTGATACTAATTCTCTTGAGCGTGATCGGGGATTACATCCTCAAATTGACACATTTCTACTTAATCAACACGATAATGTTCGAAGAGCATATATTATGTTAGGGCCATGTCAACCAAAATTAAATGAATATCCATCACACTTCGAAGGGAATCAAATGCATCAATTTAATGGTCGTTGGTATAAGCAAATTCCCTTGGCTTGAGTATTGAGTTCATTATGATAAAGCATTTTGCTTTCCATGCTTTCTTTTTAATATTGATCGCTCACATCAGGCATTCACTCAAGATGGGTTTAGAAGTTGGAAACGAATTGGTGGAAAAGATAGTGTTTTCCTTACTCATGTAAGCATTATAAATTCACCACATCATTTTGCTATGCAAAAGTGGATGGATTTAAAAAACTGTAGTCACCATATTGACAAAGTAGTTCAACCCCCACTGAAGTTAGAAGAAATCGGTTGAGGCTTACAACCATAATAGAGGGCATTAGATATCTAGCAAATCAAGGAATGGATTTTAGAGGTGATGATGCATATTGTGACTCATCTAATCGCGGTAATTTCATTGAGTTGATAAAAGCTTTTGCAAGAATGAATGAAGAAGTTGAAAAACTTGTGTTAAAGAATGCTCCCTTCAATGCCCAATATATTTCACATAAGATACAAAAGGAGATCCTAAATATCTTTGTTAACAAAGTGAGGAAGATGATACGCGATGAAATTGGGGAAGATGGGAAGTTTTGTATTCTCGTTGATTAAGCACTTGACGAATCTAAGAAGGAAAAAATGGCTATTATCCTAAGGTTTGTGGGTTGTGATGGGCATATTCGAGAAAGGTTTTTCGATATTGCGAGTGTCCATGACACTAATTCCTTAACTCTTAAAACTAATATTTGTAAAGTGCTTGGTAAGCCTAGTCTTTTAATGAGTAATATGCGTGGTCAAGGATATGATGGTGTTAGCAATATGCGTGCTCAATGGAGTGGCTTACAAGTATTATTTCTTAATGATTGTCCATATGCATATTATATACATTGCTTTGCTCATCGCTTGAAATTAGCTTTAAATGCTGCAGCTAAAGAGGTAGGACTTGTTTGGAGATTTTTTTCAATGTTAAATAATAGGGATATTCATTGAAATGCCACCTGAACTTATACCTTTGTTTCAATTTGTCACCTGAAAAAAAAATTAAGTGAAATGTCACCCGAATTTTTCAAAATCCATGATTTTTCACATGAGTTTAACTTCATCTAATTTTTCAACTATTTTCAAGGGTATTTTAGTCTTTTTCTTTTCAAGAGTATTTTAAAAATGGAAAAATCATTATAAAAAAAATTATGAAAAGACCTTTGGAAATTACAAAAATTATATATCTTTTCACATTTAACCCCCAACCATTTTTACATTTAAGCTTTATTTTGTTTAACAATAATTTTTTCCATTTTAAAAATATTCTTGAAAATGAAAAGACTAAAATACCCTTGAAAATATATAGAAATTGGATTATGTTAAATTGAGGTGACAAATCATGGATTTTGAAAAATTCAGGTGACATTTCACTTACAAAAAAATTCAAGTGACAAATTGAAACTAAGGTGTAAGTTTAGATGACATTTCAACAAATATTCCAAAATAATATTGTGAACTTTGTTTGTGCTTCTATCAAACGCCAATCGGAGTTAAAATTAACTCGTCAAGCTAAAATTGAAGACTTACTAGCGGCTGGAAGACTTGGAATAGGTAAAAGGGCTAACCAAATTTGTTGTTTGCAATGACTTGGAAGTACTCGTTGGGGCTCACATTTAGTTCTATTAGGAGTTTGATTGATTTATTTGGTGCTACCAAGACACTTCTTAAGGATATCAATCGTCATGGTCCTACCTCACAATTTCGTGGGGAAGCAGAAGGTATTAAAATTTCTATGTTATCTTTTGACTTTGCTTTTGCTTGAATTTGTTGGATAAAACTATGAGATTCACTGATTTTCTTTGTCAAGAACTTCAAAGAAAATCTCAAGACATTGTGAGTGCTTTGAATTTGGTTGCAAGTACAAAAATGGAGCTTGTTGAATTGAGAAATAATGGTTGGGATGATTTTTTACATAGTGTGCAATCATTTTGTGAAACACATGACATTTGTATGCCTGATATGGGTGCCCATCATACAATGGGCACTCATCGTTCTTGTCAACAAAAAGATTGCATAACATTTGAGCATTATAATCATATTGATGTATTTAATGAGGTAATAGATTATTAATTGGGGGAGTTAAATACTCGATTTCTAGATGGAATTGTGGAACTCCTTTGTCTTAGCTCAGCATTGGATCCTTGTGATGCTTTCAAGTGATTTAACATTGGTGATATATGCACTCTTGCTGAGAAATTTTATCCTCAAGATTCAGTACAACCGAGTTGCAAGCTTTACATCAACAATTGGGATTTTATAAGATTGATATGGATCGCATTCCAGCTTTCAAGAATCTTGATTCCAATCCTATATTACTTCAGCACTTAATTGAAACAAGATTAGCACAAACATACTACTTAATTGATAGATTGATTCGTTTGGTGCTAACTCTTCCAGTTTCTACAACAACAATAAAACGAGCATTTTTATGTATGAGACTTATCAAAAATTGACTTTGGAGCAAGATAGGTGATGAGTTTCTTTCTGATTCTATGTTACTACACATTGAGAAATAATTTGCTAGTAATATAGATAATGAATCGATAATTAGTGATTTTAACTCGATCAAGACTCGAAGGGTGCAACTTCTATAATGTTGTTTGTATTTGAATTGCATGTTTATTTCTTCTTGTTTTTTTTTAATTTATTTTTTATTTAGTTTACTAGTTTCTATCTATGTACTAAATGTATTTTGAGGGGTAAGGCTCATTATGTCCCCCCCTACTAGGTGTAATGTTTTGGTTATCAATAAAATTCACTCGTACCGTCGAATTTTCTTTGTTCTTATTAGGTTTTGTACGCAAGGTAAATTTAGCTTGCCTCAATTCAAAATTGTGAGTCCGTCCCTGATAGCAATAGTCTACTTATTTATGTTTGTGCTTAATAAAACACGGTCATGAACTGATTGAAGGGACTTCCCTTCGGCCATAGCGCCTGCCGTTTCGTCAAGCATTTCGCCCTCCTAAGAGCAAAAGAAAAGCTGCAAAGGCAGAACCCCCTCGGCCTCGCGACCGCAGTTTTGAAGGCCGAGGCCGAAGGCCGCAAAAGACACGGTCTGAAAAGCTGTGGTTGAATCGCCACGTGACCTCAGGGCCCTACGCTCCATTTAATAAAGTAATGTCTCTGACTTCGCAGCAAAACCCACTAGTCACAAGAAGCATTCAATGCACGAGGGAAGTGACTGAAGTCAGGATTTGGTGATGGGAATCAGGGTGGTTAGGCGCAGACATTCTCGCAAGTAATCTTACGACATAGGGTCAGATCTCAACCACCAGTCCAGAGCATTAAATGCGTTCCCACGGCCAAGGGGGCAGAACCCACGATCAGGGCGATGGCCGAGATTTGCCGAGATTTATGGGGGTCACACCACCATGCTTCTCAACCCCAGACCACCATGCTTCACGATCCCAAATACCGATTTGACTACCCACTTGCCCGGCCAGGCTCCACCACGCAGGTCTTGTCAGCCTCGAATGTCCCTCCAGGACTCCTATAAATGCTAAGCTCAGAACTACATTCAAAGGGTTCAAACACCAAACCAAAAGCCTCCCACGGAGTAAATTATATTTTATGTAATGCACTTTCAATACTTTTATTTGCTTTCTTAGGGGTAGTGGTAGACTGTAAGGAAAGTCCATTCATCAATATATCATACGACCCTTGATTTTCAAGGCGCCGGAGCACCACCTCTGTTATCGCCTCACTCACCCCATATATCATACGACCGTCGCTCTCTGAGCAACGCGCTGGAGCACTGCCTAAAAACCCACCACCAACACCACCACTAAACGGCCTTGTAGCTCAGGCCGTGAACCTGACGGCCGAGATTCGTTCCTCACTCGGTCACAATCATTTGATTAGGAGTCGAACGCAAAACAGGCGCAACATTTAAACCATCTTCTACCCGAACCTCATCATCACCTCGACACACGGTAGACCGTGCTGGCACGCCTGCGCACAACCGCACCGCATCCAAAAGGAGGACGTCACGTGTTGACGCACATCCCATCGGCCCGGAGCACCAGGCTGCGAGATTTGCGACGGACCAACACTTTTGGCACGCCCAGTGGGACTTGTTAAAAACTTATGGTGGAAACTAGGGCACAGGCAAAGCTCAAAAACAAAACAGTCGAAATGACTTCCGAGGCTCCTGAGTCCACCTCACCAATCACTGTCACCGAGACCGAACACGCGGTTAGGACCTCGACCAGTGGTCCAATAACGGCGGATCGCACGGCCGAGTCCATGGGAGAGCAAGCTGTCGTCGAAGATCTGATGGCGAAGCAGGTCTACAGGATCGAAACATCCTTCATGGCCGCAATGGACAGATTCTCGGAGCTACGGACGCTTTTTCAGGAGAGGATGCCGGTGACATCGTCCGCAACGCCTCCCAGAGCCGGACAGAGAGGCCAAGAGCGCGAGAGGTTCGAGCCCTAAGGCAAGAGCAGCACCCTTGGCGTCTCTGGCCGCACCCAAGCGTCAAATTACGGCCAGCATTCACAGCCGCCGACAAACAGCTGGGGGCAGTCCTAGTCAACATGGGTAAATCCCGGACCGACCTACCCGGCAGAGACGACGTACGGCCCACTCCATGTTTTGGCCGCGTCACTGGGGCAAAGCAGCCCCGCACAGTCCGCGGTCCAACAACTCGGCCCAGTCCACACTGTGGCCATCCAGACATCTCGGCCCAAGCAACTTGACCGCTACTTTGTCACAGCAATACGGTCAGAGCAACCCGACCGTTTCACCATTACATACGTCGTTGTTGCCGTCAGGCTCCTATCTTCAGTACAGTTCGGCCATTCCAACTATGAGTCATATGAACCCCGGCCAAACCTACGACGCATATCTGGTACCGCCCAACTCGGTCGCAACGGCCGAACCCCCCGTTCAAGTGGCCCAGCAGGTAAGGCTGCAGAACGAGGGGCAACAAGTCCCACGGCTAATCTCGGCCCAACAAGAGGCACCCCCTCAGGGGCTCCGATTCGAAGACGTCCGGCGAATGATCGAGGACGGCCTGACTCAGAGGCGCCCGGAAGCGCCAGGGTATACCAAACCATACCCGCCAGAAATTGACCGAACCCCGCTTCCTCGGAACTACCGGTTGCCAGAATTCATTCTATTCTCTGGGGATGAGCAGACCTCCTCCATCGAACACATAGGCCGCTTCACGGCCCAGTGCGGGGAGGCCGATTCGGACGCCCAGAAGCTCCGTTTGTTCATTCACTCTCTGACCGGCGCGGCCTTCTCGTGGTTCATAAACCTTCCATCGAATTCGGTGAGGGATTGGTCTGACATGGAAAGGATATTCCACGAACATTTCTACTAGACCAATCAGGAAATAACGGTCGCCGAGCTGGCAAGGATGAGCCAGGCATCGGACGAATCACCTCGCGACTACCTGCAGCAGTTCAAAACGTGTAAGAATTGGTGCCGCACAAACCTACCGGAAGAAATTCCAGGGGATTGAATTCCGGGACATGCACGACTTGATCAACAACGTGGACCGATACGCATCCTTGTTGAAAGAAGAGGTGCAGAAGAAGATGGCTTCAAAAGGGACTTACTATCGAAATCCTGTTGTCAGCTATGCCGAAACAAACAATCCCGCAGAGGTCGAGGGCGATGAAGTTGAGATGAGGTCAGCCGAAGTCAGCATAGACAAGCCATTTGTTTGCAAAGGACTTGTCAAGGCCGACAATAGCCGCACAAAGATTCCCGACGCCAAGTTCGCGACTCGAGAGACGAAGGCCTACACTTTTGATTTGACCAGGGCCAAAGCCATCTTTGACTTACTGTTAACCGAGAAAAAGGCCAAATTGTCCTTCGGCCATAAAATTTCGAAACCCGAGGAGCTCAAAGGAAAAACGTTCTGCAAATACCACAGTTCTTGGTCTCACAACACCAATAATTGCGTTGTTCTACGAGATGTCATCTAGAAATTGATAGACGAAAAGAAGCTTCAATTCCCGAAAAAGGCAGCCATACAAGTCGACTCTAAGCCATTCCCCCCGCCGGTCATCAACATAGTCAATGCTCAACTCCGGGCCGAGTACAAGGAAGTTCGTCGGCCTAAAAAAGAAAGGAGCCGTTGGCCGGGCCAGAGCTGGTACCGTGCAGTCGGTGCAATTCTGAGATCGGTCGGCCCATACCGTCGAAAAACAAGAGGAAAGAAATCGAGCCGTCTCGACCGGCTATGAGGAAATTCGGCAGCCAGTACGACCGTTGGCCAGCGAGAAGAGCTGTTTTCGACCGGCTAGGGGCACGAGGCCCCAGTACCTCGGCAGGCCACAAGGACGGAGCCGCTCCTAGGCCGATGAAGACTTTCAAACCACCGGTCGTACAGGATGACCGTTGGTATCATGCTCGACCTAGGGCCAGCGCCGAACCTCTGACAAAAACCCAGCTGAGAAGGATGCAGAGGCAAGCTCTGCAGGCCAGGGTACAGACGGCCCAGGTCGAGGGGTTAAAACGCCAAAACTAGATGGCGGCTGCAGTCGAAACACCATCCGCGCTAATCGTTCCCCCTACAGCAAAGTTCGCCAGCGCCAAGCCTCCAAGGGCGTGGTGCCCTAGGCAAGACAGTGATCCCCGCGGAATGGCGGCCGTTTCGGTCAAGCCAAAGGCCGCGGCCCTAGAGGGAGCAGATGAAGGCATTATCGATGTCTACCACGGAAGGGACCCCCCTTTTCGGCCAATGGTTTGTCCTTCCTCACGGAATTCTATAAGGATCACTCGGCCATCGACCTATACGGCATGACCCCTGAAAAATTGGAGGCCAAGGCAGAAGGACTCCTTATTACCAACAAATCCGACTCGGCCATTAAGGCCGTATACCAGGCGAACCGAGAGGCCAGGGCAAGAGGGATGCCAGGTTACCAACCCGAGCAGGAAAAATTGGAGGCCAAGGCCCCCTTCGGCAGAAGCGATTTGGAATACCTCTGCCGATATTTTACTGTGACCCCAGCCGACACCATCTTCGGTCTGATGGCCGAAGAAAGGGCCTGGGTAAGCCGACTGGATGATTACTTAGCGGCCAGGGATACGTTAGCTAAGGCGAGGCAAGCCCTCGAAGAGGAAGTCGGGACCTCGGACATCCCTAAGACCAAAGCGGCCACAGACGATACCCCTGGGACTGCAAGGCCTATGGCCGAGGGCCCCTGGCGACCTTCTCTTTGGTCACGAGGCTGAGGATGACCCCGCGTTGGGAATTTCCGATGACGACTACGATGGGATCCTCGGAATGATTGAGGGAAAAACCCTCGCCAATGGCGGCTGCGAGGTCAACAATGAGGCTGGTAGGGGACACCAACGGAAGCAAAAGGAGGTCAGCATAAACATGGTTTTGGTACTACCGGCTGAGTTTTCAGCTCCAAAAGGCCAGACCAACGGCCTGGATAATGACATGGCCGAGGAACAGCTAGATCAAAGGCCAAAGACAAAGGAAGAATTGTTGGTCGTGGCTTTTAATGAGGTGATACCCAAAGACAAGCCAAACAAATACCGACATCTCAAACCGTTATACATCTCGGCTCATGTCAACATCCTTCGCTATTCCCTGATGAAGAAGCTGGATAAATCAAAGGAAGATCTCATCCCCAGCGATGTGGTCATGAGCAGCTTTGTCGGCGATAAATCTAAGACTATCGAGGTATTGCCGTTGAAAATCACTGTGGCCGACCAGACGAGAGTCGCGGCCTTCTACGTGGTCGAATCTAGCATGAACTATAATATATTGCTCGGTTGTGACTGGATCCATCAGTCTGGATGCATACCGTCCTCCCTCTTCCAACTGTTGTTCTTCTGGGACGGCCAGAGGGTGTCCATACACCCGGCCAACACGAAGCCATTTGAAACCAACGCCGTGCAAGCACGGATTTACGACGACGACGTTGGATAGGTTATCCTCACCGGTTACGATGAAAGCAGCCAGCCAACCAGGACAACGGCCCAGAAAGTGCTGGAGTTAGGCGCCGAGAATGTTCAACAGGATTCGGCGTGCGAAGTATTGATCGACCTCACTGACCTGTAGATGACAGACAAAGCCACTAGAGAGGAGGGAGCGGCGGCCGTGACCGACCTGCTGGAAAGACTGCTGGAACACTGGGCAGAAGAATCCTTACAGCCAAACTCGCGGATCAACCTAATCGAATTCCTCCACGAGTCAGATGAGGCGGGCACTTTGACCTTTAACGACTTGGGAACGGCGCCCGCCGAGATGGAGGATGACTACCCCGAGGTCCAGGACCCGTTATTAGAAATAAATGTGGGAATCGAGCCTGAACCACGGCCTCTTTTTGTAAGCTAGTTTTTGAGCCCTGAATTAACCGCCGAGATCATCGGCCTGCTTCATGAATATAAAGATTATTTTGCTTGGGATTATCATGAGATGCTTGGATTACCAAGAAGATTGGTCGAGCACGAACTAAAAATTAGGGAGGGGTTTAAGCCTTTCCAACAGCCGGCGAGGCGATTCTCGAACGAAGTACAGCTTAAGGTCAAAGAGGAAATTGAACGTCTCCTTGAAGCCGGCTTCATCCGCACGGCTCGGTACGTTGAGTGGCTGGCCGACTACAGAAATATAAACCTAGCGACCCCCAAGGACGAGTATCCCATGCCTGTGTCCGACCTCTTGGTGGATGGAGCCGCGAAGCACGAGCTCTTATCTTTCGTGGACGGCCACGCTGGCTACAACCAAATCTTCATAGCCGAGGAAGATGTCCACAAGACGTCGTTCAGATGTCCAGGCGCAATCGGGACTTACGAATGGGTAGTCATGCCATTCGGCCTAAAGAACGCCGGCGCAACGTACCAACGAGCTATGAACCTTATTTTTCACGACCTAATTGGCCGAACGGTCGAAGTCTACATCGACGACGTTGTCGTAAAATCCCCATCCAAAGCCGACCATGTGGGGCTCCGACAGGCTTTCAATCGCATGCGGGCATGCGGCCTAAAGATGAACCCTAAGAAATGTGCTTTTGGCGTCACCATCGGGAACTTTCTCGGCTTCCTGGTCCACCAACGGGGGATCGAGGTAGATAAGAATAAAGCCGTGCCATCATGACGGCACCCCCGCCAAAGACCAAAAGAACTCCAGTCTTTCCTCGGTAAGGTCAACTTTTTAAGTCGGTTCATATTCAATTTGGCGGGAAAGATCCAGCCCTTAACTCCCTTGCTCAAACTGAAAGACACGGAGCGGTTCGTGTGGGGGGTAGAACATCAAGCGGCCCTCGACGACATCAAGCAGTATTTATCTCAACCACCAGTCCTTATGCCGCCGAAAAGAGGGAAACCCTTGAGGCTTTACATTTCGGCTTCAGATGGCTTTATCGGTTGTCTACTGGCCCAAAACAACGAATCTGAGCGAGAGCAAGCAGTGCATTATCTGAGCCGCACCCTCAACACGGCCGAGCTCAACTACTCACCAATCGAGAAATTATGCTTGGCGCTTTATTTCGCGGCTACCAAGTTGCGCCATTGTATGCTTCCTTCGGTCGTTCAGATCATCTCCAAGACCGACCACATCAAATACATGCTTACTCGGCCGATCATACGCGGCCGGATCAGGAAATGGACGATGGCATTGTCCGAATTCACCTTCCAATATGTAGCCCAGAAGTCGGTCAAAGGCCAGGCATTGGCCGATTTCTTGGCCCACCACCCGGTTCAGGGGCAAGAAGGGGAGTTGGAGGTTGAGATTGGCATGACCCACATGGAGAAAAACTACTGGACCATGTACTTCGATGGCTCCAGTACCGAGACCAGGTCGGGGGCCGGGGTCGTGATCGAATCCCCCCAGGGACAAAGGTGGCAATTTGCGTTCCAGCTTGATTTCAAATGCACCAATAACCAGGCAGAATATGAAGCACTCATCATCAGTCTTGAAATTCTAAAAGGAATGAAGGCGACTCGTGTCCTGGTCTACGGTGATTCTCAGCTAGTAATTAACCAACTGACCGGGGAATATCAGTGCATGAGCGAAAATTTAACCTTGTACTATGTAACGGCCCTCAATACGGCCGACGAATTTTCTAGGATCTCCTTCATTTACGTGCCACGCGCCGAAAACCATGAGGCCAATGAGATGGCTCAGGTAGCGTCGGGTGTGAACATTTTGAACAGCGACCGTGACCGCGTAATAAGAATCGAGAAGCGCACCCTGCCGGCTTTGGCCTAGCGGGGAATGACCGCGCAAGTATCATCGGCCGAAATTACCAGCGAGGTCGAAGCGGCTGAAACCGACTGGTGCTAACCCATAGTGAAGTATTTGCGCGAGCCCTCCGGCAACCACGAAAGGACTACTCGCTTCCAAGCTCGATGTTATTTAATTTATCAGAACGAGCTGTACCGAAAAGGATCGGATGGTTTATTGCTCCTATGCCCCAACGCCGAAGATATCAAGGTTATCATGGTCGAATCCCACAAAGGGATTTGCGGCGCTCACCAGTCCGACGTTAAGATGAGATGGTTGTTCCGGAGGCACGGCTATTATTGGCCGACCATTTTAAAGAACTGCATAGAATATGCGAAGGGGTGCATCAAGTGTCAAATCTACGGCCCCATACAAAGGGTACCGGCTGACGCCCTCCACCCAGTTACTAAACCTTGGCCGTTCAGGGGATGGGCCGTGAATATCATCGGCAAAATCCACCCGGCCGCGTCCAACCAGCACGCCTGGGTTTTAGTAGCAACTGACTATTTCACTAAATGGGTTGAGGCGGAGTCCTATCGGTCCATTTCTAGCACGCAGGTGGTCAGATTCTTCGAAAATCACATCGTCCACAGATTCGGTATACCCGAAACCATCACAGCCGATAACGGCCCGGTATTCGCATCAGCCGAGACTCAAGAATACGCCGAAAGGATGGGGATCAAATTGGTCCACTCGACGCCCTACTACCTATAGGCTAACAGACAGGCCGAGGCAAGCAACAAGGTAATCAAGGGTATCCTCGAGAAGATGATTAAGGAAAAACCTAGGGCGTGGCACGACTTACTCCCTGAGGCCCTCTGGGCTTACCAAGTCTCGAAACGATCGGCTACTAGCACATCCCCCTATGCCTTAACCTACGGTCATGACGCCATCATTCCGATGGAGCTAAAGGTAAGGTCTCTCCGTGTGACTGAACGACCTGGGCAGGAGGAGAAGGACTATGCGCAGGCCATGGCTCAGAAGTCAGAAGATTTGGAGCAATCCAGGCTTGACGCCTATAACCTAATGCAGGCACAAAAGCAGGTCGCGGCAAGGTCCTACAACAAGAAGGTAAAGCAAAGGACTTTCGCCGAAGGCGACTTGGTATGGCGTGCCGTACTTCCTATCGGAACTAAGGACCCTCGGTTCGGTAAATTCTCACCCAATTGGGAAGGGCCATTTATTATCGATCGAATCCTTGGCCGAGGCGCATTTCAGTTAAGAGATAGGGATGGGGAATTGCACAACTTGCCAATAAACGGCCAATATTTGAAGAAATATGCCCCGTCATTGTGGGAGACGGCCGAGAATGGGTTATGAGGTTTTGCAATCGGCAGAGATAAAAGAAAAAAAAACCACACATTCGGTCAGAAGAAAAAGAGGTTGTACTTCATTTAGATTGAAAGAACGGAGGCACGGTTACAAAAAGAACGGCCGAGGGGATGTGCGTCAACACGTGACGTCCTCCTTTTGGATGCGGTAAGGTTGTGCACGGGCATGCCAGCACGGTCTACCGTGCGTCGAGGTGATGATGAGGTTCGGATAGAAGATAGTTTAAATGTTGCGCCTGTTTTGCGTTCGACTGCTAATCAAACGATTGTGACCGAGTGAGGAACGAATCTTGGCCGTCAGGTTCACGGCCTGAGCTACAAGGCCGTTTAATGGTGGTGTTGGTGGTGGGTTTTTAGGCGGTGCTCCGGTGCGTTGCTCAGAGAGCGACGGTCGTATGATATATGGGGTGAGTGAGGCGATAACAGAGGTGGTGCTCCGGCGCCTTGAAAATCAAGGGTTGTAAGATATATTGATGAATGGACTTTCCTTACAGTCTACCACTACTCCTAAGAAAGCAAATAAATGTATTGAAAGTGCATTACATAAAATATAATTTGCTCCGTGGGAGGCTTTTGGTTTGGTGTTTGAACCCTTTGAATGTAGTCCTGAGCTTAGCATTTATAGGAGTCCTAGAGGGACATTCGAGGCTGACAAGACCTGCGTGGTGGAGTCTGGCGAGGCAAGTGGGTAGTCAAATCGGCATTTGGGATCGTGAAGCATGGTGGTCTGGGGTTGAGAAGCATGGTGGTGTGACCCCCATAAATCTCGGCAAATCTCGGCCACCGCCCCGATCGTGGGTTCTGCCCCCTTGGCCGTGGAAACGCATTTAATGCCCTGGACTGATGGTTAAGATCTGACCCTAAGTCGTAAGATTACTTGTGAGAATGTCTGCGCCTAACCACCCTGATTCCCATCACCAAATCCTGACTTCAGTCACTTCCCTCGTGCATTGAATGCTTCTTGTGACTAGTGGGTTTTGCTGCGAAGTCAGAGGCATTACTTCATTAAATGGAGCGTGGGGCCCTGAGGTCACGTGGCAATTCAACCACAGCTTTTCAGACCATGTCTTTTGCGCCTTCGACCTCGGCCTTCAAAACTGCAGTCGCGAGGCTGAGGGGGTTCTGCTTTTGCAGCTTTTCTTTTGCTCTTAGGAGGGCGAAATACTTGACGAAACGGCAGGCGCCATGGCCGAAGGAAAGTCCCTTTAATCAGTTCATGACCGTGTTTTATTAGGCACAAATAATTTATAAATAAATATTTACCTACAAACATGAAGAATAGACCACACATTTACTTAGATTTAACCACAAGTTTGAAACAATTTGGGTACATGTTTGTTATGATGATTGGTAGGGAGAAGATAAGCATTATATGTCTAAATGAAGAAAAGGACAACCTAATTCAAAGTCAACTGTTGCTGTAATACACGTTTCCCTGCTTGTTGTTTGAGTTTTGTTCCGCTTGTAATTTGAGCCCAATTACAAAGGTCAATGTTATACACAATTCGCACGCTTAATCTTTACACGATAACAAAGTCTTGAACAAAATGTTCGGGAATATATACCGGCAATTAAAAGATTTAATTATGGAAAAGGGTTTGTAGCTTAACTGATTATGTGCATTTAGTCACGTATTTGAGGTCCTATATTTGATTATCTCTTCCTCTAATATCGCTTGTATAAAAATAATAATAATAATAATAAATTATCATGTAAAAGTTAGTACTAATGTTACCTTGGCATTGTTACAAGATATACAGCAATACAAGGTGAATTGTTCCATACATTAGAATGCAGCCTTAAGATCCCTCTAACCTTCTTCTTCAAATGGGCTGTACAGTCTGCTTGCATTACCATGCAAAGGTTTGACACTGCTCCAACTAATAGCATCTCCAGAAGAACTTCATGTGTCGCTGAGAACATCGCGATCAATGAAAGTATATGGACCGCTCGATCATCTGTTGCTGGTGAAACCCTAAGAATTCTTTTAGACACTAAAGCAATACCACCAGCGTGCTTTAGAAGCTGTGCTCTCCCATCAGCGCAGCCACACAAATTGGCCAAGAGATTGAAGATCAGCTCGGTGATGCTCCTTTCGGGTCTTGCAAGTTCGAGCTCAATGAGCTCGAACATTGCACCGGATTCAACCATCTTCATTCGATTTCTCCCCAACAGGCATGCTTCTATTAGAACATGCAGTGCAGATTTGAGAGCTTCTTCGGAGATCTTCTCTTTAGACACCATTACAATATTCCTGAAAAATTCAAGATTCAACCGCTCGAGCTGACTTGCAGTTATGACTTCCATTGCCATTTTCATTACTAGTATCGCTTCGCTTTTCATGAGGATCGCATGGTTATCCATCTCAGGATCACACCCTAAAACCCATGTCAAAGATTCAAGAAAGTCATTGCTTCGATTGACAATAAGCTTAACTTCATGATCATCAGCCACACTCCATACATGGTGCAAAATTCTCAAAGCTTCTAGAACACCATTTCTTTGAGCATCTTCCTTGTAACATCTTACAATGAACAAAACCATAGCTTTGGCAACACCTGCTTCACCCATGGACCTCCTGTTCCCTTGAGCATTCTCTAATGAAAGGGCTTCCAATTTTTTCAACGCGTTGGCCTGCAAATGAGAAACCCCAAGATCCTGGACAAGTCCAGAGACACAGATCTTGTTCAGGGTAAGTTTCGGAGTTGGGATCAAACCTACACCGTTGGTTGCATTTTCTTTGCACCATTGCTGGATCAGCCTGCGGAGCGTGTGATTAGGCGTCAAGGCGTTGTCTCTCGGCAAGGCCTGCTTTGTGACCGGGCACGACATGTTGTGTGTTGTTGAAAACCACTGCTCGATGCTTTTTCGGTCGTAGGTGATGCCGGTCAACACCGTTACTGGGTCTTTCATGATCTGAAGAGATATGGGACATATGAAATACTCAGGTATCTGAATTTCCTCCATTGAAATTAGGGTAAGTCGAAGACTTCTTTCCAAATGTAAAATGCCCTGGTTGGCTTTTATATACAAACTTTTGTGTTGTGGTAAGAGAAAGCGGGCTTGTTTTAATTGGGGAAGATAAGTTTGAAAACAATGACAGTACGCCACTGAAAATTGTTATCAATTTGGTAATATTATTCAGATGTCGGCTTTGGCAGTCAAACTTTCGTATTCTGACTGGGTTGGTCAACGCACGATGAATTTATAAATCACATTTACTTCAACTTTCTTCTAGTTATCCACCCAAGACTTCCACTTGTTGCAGCTGAAGTCGTATTCCATGAGGGCATGGCGGGCCCCATTAGCTAATAGTGGAGTGGACCATGCAGACGGACTTGTGGAAAGTTTCATGGGATTGAAGAAATGAAGACGGCAAAATTTGTGGGCGGCACTTGGCACTGTAGATGTCAGAAGAATTAAGGAAATTACGAAAAGCCATTTGCACTGCAGTTTCTAGAGTTCCTCTATATATGAATTCCAACTTATGTTTAAAGTTAGTGGACTTGAATTACCAGAAAAGAAACAAAAAAAGTGATTCACACGTCTGATATGTAGTAAGATTAAACATATAATTCAAAATTTGATCATTGTAAGATTACTTATTCTTTTTTGTTGTCAAGTTTTCAATGTTTGAAAAGTTAACTTGTGACGAATTATATATAGTTTTCAAACTTTGTAACAAGATAATAATTACCATATGTCATTACGAGACAAGTTAATTTTATAATGTATAACGATCCCTTTTTTCCTCCAAAGCAAATGTGCATCATTCACATTGCTTTGGAAAAGAAAAGGAGTTTGAGTTATAGACCTAAAAGCGATTCACATGATTCACATTGTGTGAAAAGTTAATATATCTCAATTGAAGTTAATACATACATACATACACAAAGGTGGAGCCAACAAATGCCAACAAATGCCAACAAGTGCCAACAAGGGTTAGCTGACCCTTATGAAGTTTCGTAAATAACCCTGCATTCGTTAATATTTTACCCTTTGTATATAATTTATTATTAAATATGATCCTTATGAACTTTCCTTTTTTAGTAACTTAAGAATTACTAACCTAAAAGCTAAAGCAGCCCCTTTGCACCACTTAAATTAAAACCTATTCTATTTCACGTCTTCCTTTGTCAGTCATTCACTTTTTTTTTTTTTTTTTTTTTTTTTTTTTTTTTTTTTTTTTTTCTCTAAACTTAAAATTAAATCTGTATGAATTCAACTGTTGTTATTAATTTCAATTCTTGTTGACAATCAATTCAGTAAATCTTTTAATCATAACAATGTAAATGTATTGGAATGATATATGTGAGAAATATATCTTTGATATTATTGATAATGAAGTGATTATGAAAAGATTTCAAGAGATGAACGCTTGTCGAGGACAATTGTAAATGTATTGAAATGGCATATGAGTTGTTACTAAAGACTTTGTATTACTAAATAAAATCTTATTTTGCGATGATTTTATTATTTGAGGTTGATCCTAATTGATGAATTTTCTGACTCCACCATTATATATACATATCTCATCTTCCCCAACCCCATCCCCACCTCCCCATACCCACCACCTAGATCTAACCTACCCGCACTCTCTCTCTCTCTCTCTCTTTCTCTCTCCTATTTTTTTTGTTACTTTTTCTAATTTTATTTTTATATATTTGATTTAAAATTTTTAACTTTATTAATTTTAATTGTTCATAAAAAATTAAATTAAATTTTTTTAATTGCTTTTTGGCCTATGTGGAGTTCAAATTAGAATAAAAAATGGGATTTACAATTTTCATATCAACATATTTTGGAAGGTTTACTGTGGTTGATCTTATATACAAGGTTAGGATCGAAAGACACATTTTTTGACATAAATTTTTATACACTTTTAAGATCCTTAGATTTAAGCACTTTCAACAGTCGAGATTAATGGTAACATAATTTTTTAACTTTAAAAAATAAAAATGAAAATATTACTTCTCTCTTCTCATCTCATTTTCGGGAATATAAACATTTCTTCCCAAAAAGTCTCTCTCTCCCTTCCACAAAAATACCTTCTTCCGCCATTGAAGCACTCTCTCCCACTTCTTCTTCTCCAAGTTTCCAACTCAAAACCAGAAAAATAAATAAATAAATAAATTTGCAATCCAAATCTGGCACCATGTTTATAATACCAACAAGACCAGAAGTTAAAACCAATTAAATCATTTTTTGGTGTAATCTTAAATTTTAAAGCTTTAGGGGTTGCTAGATCTCGACTAGTCTGTGCTGCTGTTGCTTAGCCCCCTCATCATCATTTTTTTTTAATTTAAAAAAAGGCTTTCTAAAATAAAATTCTATGAACTAAACTAAATTATTTTTGCATATAGTTAAATCAAACTGGAGTCAAAGGGGACATCATTGTCCTCAAATAGATAGAGCTTTCGAAAATTTACTAAAACACAACATTGGCCATTGGCCATCCTTGCAGAAGCCTTCATATCCTAAACAATTTCCTTCCAAAACCACCGGCTCTTCTTCCTCTCTAATAAAAGGGATGGCTTATAAAACAACAATCTCAACATTGAACCAGCTCAAGGATGAGTTAACCCCATTTCATATCTTGTCAGCGCCCCTAATTGCCCTCTCCATCGACATTCCTTAGCCTTACTGCGTTTTTTTTTTCTTCAAGAAGAATATTTGGTTTGACTTCTTGGAATAATAGGTTTGATTAATGAAAGGTATGTGAAGATTTACACAGTTATAACATTTCTCATGCCCATTTTTTCTGGTTTAAGTTGGAGAAGAAGTTTGATAAATAAATAAAAAAAGGAAAAAATAAACGTTGGAGAATAAGAGAAAAATAAGCAGGGACCAGATAAGAAGGGGAGAGGAAAAAAATGGTACGAAGAAAATGGGAGAACGGTTTTTGGGAAGAGAAGTATTATCTTCCCGAAAAATGAGACGAGGAGAGAGCAATAGTATTTTATTTTTATTTTTTAGAGTTAATTTCAGTTTAATACCCGTGTTGCCTCTACACTTTCAATTTTAATGATTACTATCTGGTTTTGATGTTAGCCTCGCCATTAAAATTTCCGTTAGTTGCTAATGTGGCGTCGGTGGGACTCACTTTTTAAAATGTAAATTGATTAAAATACTAATAAAATATTACAAACCAATTAAAAATAAAAATAAAAACTAAAAGAACTATAAAATTGAAGAAGAAAAAAAATCTAACCCATAACCCACCCTCCCCCTATTGCAACCCTCTCTCAACACCCACCCATTATAGCCCACTCCTAAAATCAAACCACACCTTCACCGCCACCTCATTTCCCTCCCTCCCTGAAGAGAGAAGTCTCCCACCTAAAGAAAACACCACGAAGTCTTCTCCTATAATTCTGTCATCAACAGATATTTCTCCATCTATCAAGGGAGATTGCTCATGACAGAAGCAATCTCATATTCTTTCCTATATGCAAACCATTGTATTTATTCTAGATATATTTACTTACTATTATTAGCTTTGTACAAAGTCAACTCTTGTAATTATAAAATTGTGATGAATACAGAACAAACCTCAACGAGGTCATTCTTCAATCTAGTCTTCCTCTCAATCCTATCTCAATTTCTACATGGTATCAGAGCCCCATAGGGGCTAACGCTCAACTTCGATCCTTCCGTTCCAATTCAATCTTTCTTTCTTCTCAAACATAGAATCTTCAAAATCAATGGGTGATTCTCAGTCTTTGTCAAACTCTTTCTCCACCCACTGTCTGCTCTCTCAACAAAATTCCCAAAACACAGTATCCTATATCCCAACCTCTTTCAATATCTCCCAACTATTCACAACTCCCATGGACCGACACAACTATTTAAGTTGGAAATCACAATTTGAAGATGTCTTGGAAATTCATGGCCTTGACAAAGTTGTGAAAGATGAAGCACGACCAGAGAAAAAGCTAACTGATGGATCTATGAATCCTGCCTATTCCAGAAATAAATTGGTGTTAAGCTGGATTAAGGCAACGTCATCTTCCTCTATCAAAACTCTACTTATTCCATGTGCAACCGCTTATGAAGCATGGACTCTCTTTGAGAAACGCCTCTCTCCCTTCTCAAAGACTCATGTTTACACCCTGCGAGATCAAATTCGTACGCTCAAAAAGGATCCAAAACAATTGTTGTTGATTATCTGCTGCATGCCAGATCTCTCTCTGACTCTCTCATTGGGAATGGAACTGCAATGTCTGATGGCGAACTCATTGACTATATTCTTTATGGCCTTGGATATGAATATAAACAGTTCACCACATCGCTCCATCTTAGACCATCACTGACGTTTGATGATTTCTTTGGTTTACTCATTCAAGAAGAACAGCTTCTAAAAAGAATGTCCTTTATTTCACTGTCTACAGGTACAACCCTCACATCTGACTGAAACCCCAATGATCAACAACAAATTTCACATAACATGCAGTACACTCCCAACAACAATTCCAATCAAGGATGTGGTAGAGATCGCAACTGGAACTCCAATTTCCAATGTAGCAGGAATTCAATTTGTGTCAACACCAATAGATCTTTTTCCGACTACCGTTGCACCACCACTCCCACTCCAGATCATCGTCCGCCACTTCTTCCAATTCCATCATCTCAGCCACCTTTCCAATTCCAGAAAATCTGCCAGTGTTGCAATCGACAAGGCCACACTTCTCACATCTGCCCAAAACATGGAAATTTTGCTTACATGGCCGAGTCCAACACTGTGACTGCCCCCAAACCCTCTGAACTCACAAACTGGTGTGTGGACTCAAGAGCAACTCATCATATGACCTCCAATCCCTCTGCACTCTCATATGTCTAACCCTATAAAGGTAACGACTCCATTGTTGTTGGTAACGGATCTCAACTCTCTATCACTCATATTGGCCATACACAATTGGATACATCAACTGGCTCTTTGAATCTTCATGAAGTATTATGTGTACCTGCCATACATAAGAATTTGTTATCTATACGACAATTTTCTAAAGATAATCATTGTTATTTTGAGATGGATGCTAATGGCTTTCATGTCAAGGACAACAAGACAGTGAAGGTTTTACTTATTGGCAGTAGCTCAAGCGGTTTGTATCACATCCATATAGAACCTGAAATTTCTGAAAAGCTTGGTTTCTATGGTGAGAAGACAACTCAAGAAGTTTGGCATGCTCGCCTTGGACACCTTTCACAGGCTGTTTTTCGTGTTTTGCTAAATAAACACAAACTTCCTCTTCATGGTAGCTTTGATTCTCATAAAGCTTGTCATATTTGTCCATTGGGCAAATCTTGTAAGTTACCATTTTCTTCTCGCCACTCACATGCTCAACAGCCACTTGATTTATTGCATCTTGATTTATGGGGACCAGCTCCTGTCTCCTCTAATTTTGGATATCGTTATTATTTGTCCATTGTAGACGATTGCACTCGTTTTGTTTGGTTTTATCCCTTGACCAAGAAATCCGATGTGCTTGGAACTTTTGTTATATTCAAGAGAATGGTAGAAAAACGGCTCAATTGCACCATTAAAATGTTACAAATCGATGGTGGTGGAGAATTCACAAGCCGGATGTTCCTCAATTTCCTCCGTGAACATGGTATTAGTTATCAAATCTCATGTCCATACACACCGCAGCAAAATGGAGTTGTTGAACGCAAGCATCGACACATAGTGGAAATGGGAATCTGTTTATTATCACAATCACACTTGCCTCACAGTTTATGGCTAGAGGCTTTTTCCACTGCCGTATTTCTTATTAACAAGTTACCATCACTTCACCTTGGAGCTCTATCTCCTTACGAGAACCTGTTCCAATGCCCTCCAGATTATACATTCCTCAAGATGTTTGGGTGCACATGTTTCCCTATTCTGGTGCCTTAAAACAAGTATAAATTGATTCCTAAATCTACTAAATGTGTTTTTATTGGTTATGACAGCAACTATAAAGGATATAAGTGCTTAGACATGGCTTCCGGTCGGGTGTACATCTCTCGCCATGTCACTTTTGACGAGCATACATTCCCTTATCATATTACTCCTTCGCAACAGCCCACCATCCAGGTGCCATCTCCTTTGTCAACGGTACTAGAACCAGTTTTCTCAAAGGATCTTTTGCAGCCTTCTTTGCCACCAGCTCCACCTCTTGCCACCGTTCCATCCTCACCATCAGCCATCACACCCATTTCCGACTCACCTGCTGGTCCGATGACTCCACCAGATTTTCCCATGCAACCTTCCATTCATGATGAACATTCAACCGCTCCTGCTTCACCACCATCTCAAGCATATCCTCTTTGTGACTTTGCATCTCCCTCACTCACCTCATCCACTCCAGACACCTCTCCACTGCCAGGAAAATTTCGCAGCGTTCAAGAGCTTCAAAAGCTTCTTCATGGTCCCTCTGCTCACCCATTACCAGAAGGATTAACCGCTTCTCTTGCAAACTCACTTTTTGTTGAGCCCACAAGCTATACACAAGCTGCCAAACATCCTCACTGGCAATCTGCCATGCACGAAGAATATGATGCTCTTCTTCGTAATAATACTTGGTCTCTTGTTCCTGCAGTTCCTTCTATGAACATTGTGGGATGCAAGTGGGTTTTCAAGGTCAAACGCAAAGCAGATGGCTCCATTGAGCGTCATAAGGCAAGATTAGTTGCAAAGGGGTTTAATCAACAAGAGGGTTTAGACTATGATGAGACTTTTAGTCCAGTAGTAAAACCAGCCACTGTCCGTACTATTCTGGCCTTAACTATTTCCCACAAATGGCCACTCTAACAATTGGATGTTATCACTTGAGGAAGCCCTTAATGATACCCAGAGAGTGGACTACTACTACCATCACCCCTCGCACCTTCAAAGAGCAATCAACTAAGTTCTTATTAACAAATAATATGTTAGTTCTATGCCTATCCTTCTTACATTTAAGTTAATTAATAATTACATTGATATAAGTGTATTTGAACTTTTCTATTCTTTTGTGTAGGGATGGTATCAATGTGAAGGGATATTTTGCATGGTCATTACTAAACAACTTTGAGTGGAGTTCTGGATACACTGTTTGGTTTGGTATCAACTATGTGAATTACAACAATGAACAGAAAATATACCAGAAAGTTTCAGCACATTGGTTAAAAAAATTTCCTAAAAAAATATTGATCAAATCAAAATATAGTTATTGTATGTAACATATGATAATTTCCCTCATTCCATATTTGTATTACTTCAATAATGTGAATGTTATTTGTGCACATCAACAAAAATAAATTCCAGTTGTAAGATATAACACATTAGATGTCTATGGGTTGCACTTAGATTATTCCTTATGAATGTATACATAATCAATTGGATCAACTTATATGTATATAAATATTTAGATTCGGTCTTTTGTCCCACATGTCTTTTTTGATCAATTTGCCTTACATTAAAGATGGAAGTCTAGCTAACATATAAAGAGTTTAAAATATCTTGCACCTCTTCATTCACTGTGATCGATTAATAATTTTGAGTTGGATGCTCTCATTCTAACATGGTATTAGATCCGAGTTATCCATGTGGTAAGTTCAATGATCCCATAAGAATTTTCCATGCATTAGGGGAAAATAATGCATACATTAAAAGGCATGTTAAGAGTATCTCACAATGTAGATGGAAAATATTTTGGTTCTTTCCACATTACTAATTAGTTTTGGGTTGGATACTCTCGGGGACACTTGAATCGTGTGGTGCTAGGATTTGCTTTCTCAAGTTGATTATAACTTCCTGGGTCGTGTCAGGAGATTTGACAGATATGCGTTCTCGGGCTAACTACATATCCCCTGAGTTCTATGTGGATATGCATTCTCGAGCTGACCACATGTCCCCCGAGTTTTGCGAGGTTGTAACATACATGGTACTTGTAATTGATGGAATATTATTGGAATTGACGGAATATTAGTGGAATTGACGGATTATGAATGGGGGTACGCATAGGTGGAGAGTATTTGAGTTTTGAGATGTTTTAAACTAAAAATTGATGATATTATCTTGGTACTTATTGGTGAAAGTTTTAATACATTTTTTAGATTTATGAGATAAGGATTGAGAGTTTTCTAAGTTTAAGGATTTTATACAATTCACAACTATTTTCTTAAGTGATGAGTTTGCTTTTACACGTAAAATATGGAAGCACGTTTTTATTCAAACCGTTGATATTGATATTAGAGTTTCACATGGCCAATGTTACTTTAATAATTTTCTCATTTTCCTACTTATCTATAATGAGCTATTATATATATGTATTTGTTTATGCACATATGTGATAAGTGGAAGATTGTTTGAAAATCAATATCTTTTGCTTAAGTTTCAGCAGATTGATTAGTATTGAAGCTCTTGGTTTTGGGAAAGTGTGAAGGAATATTTAATTCATGTGCTTACATATGGGTTGAACTTTGTTTCTTGTAGAAAGAACTATGTGTGGCTTGATCCCTCGGTAAGGATACGTAGGCAACTTGAGTTAAGTAAGAAACAAATTCGTAGATTACATTGATATTGCCCTGGTAAGGTTGAATTTGAGGCTAGAGGCCATCTGGTAAATTGTGTGTGTTAGCATTGTGCAAGCTAAAGTTGGGAAATCTTAAACTGTGATTTTTACAAGTGAAAATAATTTGGTAAATGTCTGTTTTTCAAGGGAGACTCTGCCGATTTTCTAGTAGAAGTCAAACCTTAGAGCAGTTTTTGGATTAGGGCAATAAGGGGTATTTTGGACAATTATGCCAATACCTGCCAGGTGTTGGACACGCACAGGGTTCGACATAGATTTCAAAGTGGAATTTGGCTTGGGTCCTGTCACTATGTCCCCGTCTAGTACATCTATCCTTCGGATACCCCGTCACTAAAGTTCTCATGTTCCATGAATAATACATACTTCACAGAAACTCCAAATAATATATATTGTGTGAAATATTGCACAAATTAGACATGCTTGACTTGAAAATAGAGAGAGATTTGTAAATAAAATAAATCCATGATAATACATGATTTTCACATTTATCACAAAATAAGAACTTTTAGAACACACTACATAACCCACTCACCATGATAAGTATGAAATATTGCAAGACAAACACATACGCTCTTCATCTTGTTTTTCTCTCTCCCTTATGTATATATATATACAGTCCCCTTCTATTGAGGGATCCCTCAAATAATTTTATTTGAGGGACGCCCTTTAGGGTACCCTACAATTTTTTTTCCAATGATCCAAACCATATATTTTTTAGGTCTTCATTCATAGATCATCCTTACAAAAAATTAGAAAAATCGGAAATTGTTTCGACATCCAATTGTGTCTTACAAAATCAATGAACACGGTGCTTCAAGAAAGTCCTAAAATTTCAATAACTCAATTGAGTGGTCAAATGATATCGGATTCAAGTGATTTTTTGTAGAGATGATCTTTGAATGAGTATCTACAAAATAGACGGTTTGGATTAGTGAAATACAATCCATAGTGGGGCCTACAAGGGGTGTCCCTCAAATAAGCTTATCTGAAGGATCCCTCAATGGAAGCTCTCTGTATATATATATATATATATATATATATATATATCTCTATCTCTCTCTCTCTAACACTACTTCATGGTAGGAGTGGGCACTTAAACCGGCGAACTTGAAATTCAAGCCGAACCGCACCGAACCAAACAGGAAAAAATCGAGTTGACCAAAAAATCAATAACCGGTCAAAAATCAAACCGGACCGGTTTGGACCGATTTTGGATCCGGTTCCATGTCTTCAAAAATAGATCGGGCCGAACCAATCCTGTCAAATTAAAAAATATATAATTTCAATATATATTTATTTTTAATTTCACCAAAAAAAAACTAATATTTATCCAAGTTCAATTTCAAAATATCTCTCTTTTTTAACTTTAATATTTATTTTTATATGAAATTGAATAATTTGTTAATTTTCAAGTAAAAATAATAATATTTCAGTTGAGAATTGTAAATTAATTTTTATAATCTGGTTCAAAACCGAATTGGATCAGAAACGGTTCAACCCAAAGCGGAAAATTTTTGAATTTTTTTTATTAAAACTGAACTGAACCAAACCAGATGAATAGTACCATATTAGTTCTACTTTGAGGCACAAGCCGGTCCAACCCAAACTGTGCCCACCCCTACTTCATGGTAAAAGTCTATCTTAAAGGATTGGAATGAATGATTGAAGTAAGAAAGCATGATACTTATAGGAGAGGCAACGGATGCAACCAAATAATATTTATATATACAATATTTTAAACCATTAAAAGATAAGATAGAAAAGTAAGGGAATAATGTGACTCATCCTCCTTTGGCCAATGATATCACAACACCACCACCAAAAGATAAGATAGAAAAGTAAGGGAATAATGTGAGTCATCCATGTTTGGCTAATGATATCACACACCACTTGTTACTAGCATGCAAGGTGGCATGGCAATGATGATTTGATTAAAACCAATTCTAAGCTTCTACACGTGGAAAACAAGAATAGTGTCATCTTTCAACCAAATGGATAATATGATACTAGGCTTAAGATTTAATAACATATAAGTCTTCTTAATAAATATTTAAATAAGAAAAATTAATATGTAGTATGAATAACTAAATATATATATATATATTTACAGGTTCTCACATAGGTCTATTTAGGAAATAAGCACTACCTCAATGTGCAACCTTTTTCTCCAAACTTAGTTGAGCTAGTAGCTTGTTCTTCATGGAAATGGCAGCTAATCCATCAATTTCTTCACCCTATGGCTCTGCAACTCAACTCCGGATCGAACATAACCATGAAATTTAGATTTTGAGATGAAAATGGGTCAATTCCTTCAAGAAACCATCCTCTTGAAGAAATCAACCAAGAATTTGATATAGACTAAAGAAGATGACTAGTCATAATGAACCTAGATGCAAACTGAAGAAGATGAATAGTCATAACTAAACCCATATGCAGATTATAAAAAACACAGCAGATTTCGAAGAATAATTTTCAAAATCTCATAATGAAAACTCATACCTCACCAAGTAGAGAATTCAAAGTAGAAGTTTTACTCTAAAAAATTCTAAATGGGTGAATTTGGTTTCAAAGATAGAATCAGATTTGAAATCCTCATTTCAAAAGCCATGAACAATCTCAGACAAACTAAAGAGAAAACCAAGTTTTCCAAAATGGTGTAAATGAAAAATATGAGAGATTAAAACTTGGATGTGTAAAGCTATAGTAAGATTTTCTAAAAAAGAAGTAGCTTTCAAAATGAAATATGCCACATACACTCTCACACAAACCAAAGAGAAAACAAAGTTTTCCAAAATGGTGAAAATGAAAGTGATGAGAGATGAAAACTTTGTATCACTAAGCAAACGTTTCATAAATGAAATTTCAATGAAAGCCCCAAAAAGAATTCAAGAAACCATGAACTCTTCCCCCAAAAATCAAAACATAATTTACACACACACACACACACACACACAAACACAAAAACATAATTTACACACACACAAACACACACACTCTCTCTCTCTCTCTCTCTCTCTCTCTCTCTCTCTCTCTCTAAAAACCCATATGAAAAATGTAAAATGAGAGACTTGGCAGCCAAGGATTGGACTTATAATAAGCAAATTAAGTGCCTTTATTAAAAATCTCGTGCTGGAAATATTTGGCCTATATGAATAGTCATCTAGACAAAGTTTTGTGATGTAGATGCTGATTTTCCTAATGATGCCCATTATAAATGAATGCACAAGTTATCTTGGTTTTGTAGCGTCATAAACTCTTCAATGTACTTCAACTTTTTAGCAAATACCCAAGTCCTAATTTCTATATATGAGCTAAGAGGAATTACACACAGGACAACTAATGATGACTAGAATATGGTGGTTTGTTGAGCCCTCACATAGTGTAAGTTAACACATTTATACTACTATGAAGTGCTTAGAATCAATATTTCCCATTGATTTTTAATTTTCCAAACATCTCTATGTACATGCAGGAATCACTTTCAGGACCATGCAGAACTTCGTTACAAGGAATTTAGTGATTGGGTAAAACATTGGATCACGTTGAATCAGCCATGGACCTTTAGTTGTCATGGTAAAGCATTGTTGCTAATGTTTAATTTGCTTTTATAAACTATATGCTTTTAGTGGATCCTTGATCATTCCAAATCAAGCTATGACATTAATTAAACTTTACGGCCCTGTTTGGTGGGTTTGATTTGACTGGACTGGTTAGGATTCAGCTTGGAGTATTGGACTGAACTGGGTTGGACTTCAAGTCCTATTGAGTTGTTTGGTAAAGCATTAGACTGGACTGGACTTAAGTCCATGTCCATTGCTTGGTACAAGGCCACACTAGACAACATTGGACTTTTTTTTATATATATAAAATTTCAAAATTTTTTTACGGTTTATTAGATTATTTAATAGGGTAAAGTGCCGAATATCCCCTTGAACTATCACGCTTGTTGAAATCTACACCCTAAATTAATTTTTCAGCCAATTTAGCCCTCGTTCTAAATTTTATTGCCAATTTACCCCCCACCGTTAGTTTTTGACAATTTCCATCCAAATCTCTGTTAAAAAAGTCACATGCCAGGCCCATGATTCACTATTGAATTAAAAATTAATTTTTTAAACCTCTCTCTTATTCTGTCTTGTCTCGCCTCTCTCTGCTAGTCTCGAACCCAGATGGGTTTTTGGCTTTGAAGACAATTCCAACAAGCTACCGGAGACCGGCAAATTTTTTTTTCTCTGCCTCACCAAAGAGCTCGAATGAGAGAAATCAATCGAAGAGAGAAGAGGTTAAAATCAATAGTCGGAAAATCCAAATTGGGGCCTGGGTAATATGGGTTTTGGAGGGGCAGGGTAATATGGGTTTTGGAGGGGCAGGGTAATCTGGGTTTTGAGGGTGTT